TATAGGTTTTATTGATGTTTCTAACGTGTTCTTTCTAGTTTTTAGATCGCTGAATTGTGTTTATTTCGTGATCATCTAGCCTTTACGATGTCAATCAGTTGTTGACCCCAACCATAGAATTACTGTATAATAAGAATATTATTCGATGTCCGCAATACGCAGAGCTGTGTGTGTGTGTACCGTATAAGATGGGTGCTGTAGATTCAGCCAATCATATATGCTCATCATTTCAATGGTGCCCTCTATTTAACATTAATATTTTGAATACAGCTATGTTGAAACTCACGTTGCGTACACGATTTCAATTTTCTTTCCTCAGTACTTAATTTTCAAATCAGATACTCTACTTGGCCTTTTTTTTGCTACGATAGTTTAATAACTTATTTATATTATATGATTAATGAAATAATAGTTAGTCAAAGGGCTTATTTATGGTTTATAATATGTATACTAAGCCCGAAGGTGGCACTTTCTTATGGTGGCCATCTTGGATGGTACACATACACAACTCTGCATTGCTTCATCTCCTGCACTCTAGTTAAGTTTAACAGCTCTATGACCCAACACACTTGTTTATTTTTCATCGTAAACTGTGCACTCAATCCAACGACTGGCGTTGGTAGTTGTGTTTCTGGTTAGTTTATACTGTACTGAATTTTATATTATAGCGATTATTATAGCAGAAATGGAAAAAAGATTGAACTGTTAATAAAATATACAACAAACCTGATTTTATTAAGAAAAATATGCATTAACACTTTGAAAAACGTATGCGATAAGACTTTCCGGACGTCATTTGGTCAATGATGACGTCATCAAAAGCAAATACAATTCGTAAAATCGACTTCATAAAATCAACGTTTGTAAAACGGACGTTACAAACAGACATTTTACTGTACATAACATTTTCAAAAGTTTCATTTCATATCAAGTTGTAGCTGTTAATTTATCATCTACAAGTCCCTCTGGCTGTATTATTTGATTAATTTCTGAACCCTACTCAAGCCTTATCCATTACATTATGGATCAACTACTCTGTCACTTCTCTCCTGTGGGAAAATCTTTATTAAGGAAAAAAGACTAGCGAATGGATAACCACTTTCAAAATTGGGTGAGGTTTTGAATTACCTAATAATTTAGATGGGTGATGTAATTGATTGATTTACTACAGTTACTGCAATTTATTAAACTACAGTTTTTTTTATTCATTTAAAATTTACAAAAGGGAGGAATGAATTAATGAATAGACCTAAATGAATTTAATGTTGTGGCCTACCCAGGGACAGACAAGGACACAAATATTTATTATTTTTCCCTTCTAATGAAGGCACCACATCCCAAAGCTGCATCAGTTTGCTACTGATTGAAAGATAGGCCAATCAGCCACTGGCTCCAATTCAATTCACTTTAAACTTTGAATCTGGGCCACAGAGGCCCAGATCAACATAGGGTTGTTTTTCCTGTGTTCGTGCACATACAAAATAAAATATACAAAATGACCAGAGTTGGGGAAAAAATAATTTTAGGTACAAGCCAAAACAATAGGAAATCCAATGTTAACAGTTTGTTTGAAAACATCTATTTTAAGCATCTAAGAACCAAATTAGTTTTTAAATTTTCAAAGATAAAATATTATAACAAAATTATTTTAGCTATATAGGCACTCAAAGCTGGAACTATGGTAATTAATTGTTAAAAAAATACTCACAAAATGACGTTTTTTATATTGTTGTTCTGAGGTCAACCGCATGTCAAGCTTAATATTGATGGAAAGTTTAGGATGTTGATTGATCACTTTGTCCCTGGTATTAAAACTTTTTGATAAGGTGACCCTAATATCCAGCTGTGCTTCTTTGGCGACCCAGCCTCAATCCATATATATAACTTTGTTCATGAATCTTTCTTAAAGTGTGTATTTCGATTGAGAAGAGTCGGGGACTAAGGGACTGACATCGTTCTCCAATTGACAATCGGTTTCACTCACATGGGTTATGTACAATTCTTATCTATTTATTTATAAAAAATATACTCATATATATTATATACATATTTTCACCTACTAAAACGTTACCAACAAAGATGGAGTGACAGTGTGCCACATCAAAGTAGCTATGAGAAAAATATTACCAACCTGCTGCTCTGTCTTTGAGTAGCGATCATTTCAGAATAATAACATGCAGCTACTGGATAAGCTTGGTAAATTAACATCAGGCTATTAAAATCATTATAATTTTGGAACTAGATATCGTATGCTGATAATTATTTTGCTGTTTTATATATTATAATGTGATTATTAATGTCATTTTTGTTCTAGTAGTAAATAGTCGTTAACATTACTTCCTAGATTTAATATGTTTAATACACTATTTCAAAACTCATTTTTTATAAAGTACTATTCAATAAAATCATGTATGGGCATAAACATTGTTTAAAGGGCAAATTTAATTTTTTTACTGCACACTGAGGGCTGTACACAAAATCCAAATTGGGAAATTTGATGTTTACAATTTGCTTTTAAAAATGTTATATTTTTATTCAATTTTGCAACTCTCAAAAAAAGATATTGTATTATTG